AAAGCTCTCGAGATGTGCTATAAGAATATGCAATGAAAAATGGGGTGTTCCATTTAAAAAAATTAATGTGACCTTGACCTGACCTTCGCTACGCAACCCAAGGTCAAACTGATGTGATCAGTAAATACATCTTTTTAAACGCCATAACTTTTGTCTGAAATATTTTTTTGTAAAACTTATATTTTTCCTGATATTCGGGCGTCCCGGTACTTTCCGAACACCCTGTATATATATATATATATATAACTTGTATATATAAAATATATGAATATACTCAACTTAAATAAATTATTGTAAATATATTGATGCATTAAATAAATACTAAGATATTGAAATAAATCTAACTACTTGATATTGTCAGGAAACAAATGAATTTCTACAAATCAGTTAAGAAGAGGCAGACTTCGAAAACTCGGACTACTCAAAAGGTTAAAAATTAAATATATAAAAAACGGATTGTGTATGTTATACATTACATTAATAATGGATTAGATTAGATTTTGTGTGCGATATTTTTGTGTTTACCTGCAGACAAGTAGAATGGTTGTAGCAGCCGCAGTTGGTCCGACAGTCTGGTCCGGTCCAACCGAGATTGCATTCACACTTGTAGTCCGGTGCCTCACTACAATATCCGTTGACACATCTCTCGTAGCAAGTTTTCGTGCAGTTCTCTTTGCCGTCGCCGTTGAAGCCGCGCTTGCATTGACAACTGAAGCTGCCGTGGGTATTGGTGCAAAGCGCGTCGGGGTGACAATCATGTAGGCCGAGATCGCACTCGTCCACGTCTGGACACTGCGCGTACGCCCAGCTGCATTCATCGGCTCTGAGACTGCTGTTCCGATACTCATTGATGACCAAGCTGCAATTGACGTGAGGCTGATTGAAATCACCCTGCACGCACACGCCGGTGATAGGATTCTCTAAGCTGTAGCACCAGCCGCAGCTGAGCGAGTGCAGACAGCTGGAGCAGTTGGTGTGCCGACTGCAACTCTTACACTGGTCGTTGCCGGTCAACGACGAACCGGAGCGCGATGTGACGCCCATCAAACCCGCCTGGTCCATCCATTCTCTGCACAAACCGAACTGATACTCTGACGTATAAACAGAGAAAGAGAAACATTCTCTTGTGGCTTCACACCAGACGCATCTACCGCGCTCGTCCAAACACTGAGTACAGTTAGAACGTTGTCGGCAAGGAATTGGACATTGATCCAGGTTGACCACAGCATTGGGTAGCCGCCCAATTCGTGCGCATCTCGCATCCTCCGTCCACCACTCGCACAGATTGCTACCGACACACGATTCGCAGGAGATGTAGTTAGAACAATTGGCGCAAGCAGACGGCGTGATGGTCAAGTAATGCCATTCGCGTATCGCCTTGCCAGTCTCGTCCAATTCTACGTCGGTAGCGCAGCTCTCCGTTTCGTTGGCTGAGCGCGGCAAGCACTGGTTCGTAATGTCGCACCAGCCGCACGACGAGTCGGTCAGGCAGTGCAGACAATTGCTGTACTGATGGCACGAACCGTTCTGATACGGCTCGAGATACTCGAATGTGAATACCTTTGGGTTTTCTGTCTTCTTGTTGTGTGTGATTTCCATCTTGCTTGCGTAAGCGTAACTTGCAGTCACCATCCTCTTTGACTCGAAGTCCAATAAATAGCGACCTGGCTGTAGCTCCATAGGGTGATCGTCTGGCCATTTGGTTGGTATACATTGCGACGTCTCTGCAGTTAAATTAGCGACCAGTTCCTGAATAAAAATCACACATTATGTGAAAACAATTATACAGAATGATTTAATTATATAAAAAGAATAAGATAAAATATTGTCTAGTCTGAATAATTAAATCATACAGAAAAAAACATAATTTATTTTATTATAGTTCCAGAGAAAAATAAACTTAAAATTAATACTTATGTGTGTGCGTATATATGTGTGCGTATGTGTGTACCTATGTGTGTGTGGAGATAATTACTATGAGATAATTACAAATGTTAAAGTTTTATTCTTACAAGTAAACTTATTCAAAAGTTATACTCCGATTTCTTTCTAATTTGGGACAAATGTAGAAGTACAAAAAATATTTAGGTTATATTTTTCATTTTGGCCCACGGGCATTTGAGTTCCACGGGCAGTTTATAGCTTTTTAATGATCTCACTCCTAATATCAACAAGTGCAACAAAAATGCATAAGAAATAAAATTGAATATAACATATAGGCTTTTTGACTTGCCGATTATGAATATGAAGTCAAATGTGTAAAATTATTTATATAAATAATAAAATGTTTAAACAAAACATATAAAAAGTTGAAAAAATTATTTATATAAATAATTTCTCGGTTTGGCCGAGATTCGAACATTTTTAATTAATTTAGAAGATTTAACAGATTTAAAATATTTCGATTGGAATCTCGGCTAAAGAAATTTAGAATGGTTCATGTTTCAGCTATGCCGATTTTGTTAAAATTATTTAACTGTATTTTGTATTCAATTTTATTTTCTCATGTATTTTTGTTGTACTTGTTGATGATAGGAGTGAGAACATTAAAAAGCTATAAATTGCCCGTGAAATTCAAAGTAGGTCAAAATGAAAAAAAATATGACCTAAATATTTTTTATACTTCTACATTTGTGTCAAATTAGAAAAAAATTGGAGTGTACCTTTTGAGTAAGTTTACTTGTTATTTATATTCAAAGGTTCATATTCAGAACGCGCTTACAACAATGATAGCACGTTGTTAGCTAATTAGAAGTGGTTTATAAGCCTTCTGATTAACAGGGAGCTAACATAATTATAAGTACGTTCTGGATATGAGCCATAGCATACATAAACGTTTCAGTCAAATACAAACCATCTTCAGTAAATTAACAATATAATGAACAATATTATATAGTATAGAAAAGATTATATGTATATAATTACATGTATATAAAGCGTTCTAATATCTGCGGCTCTAATTAATTTTCGATTTAATTAATTTTTCAATTAGAGTGTAATAATTATCATTCGACTCACCAATTTATTAGGATCATCACTGCGCGAGACATGAAGCGTCGCGCTGTTATAACTGACACAGATCTTCAAGTGTTCCATCGCGCTATCCCAGAAATACTGCGGCGGCCTGAGAAAGCCGGTCAACCTGGCAATCATCTCGCCGCCCAAGGCCGATTCCGTCTTCGCGCCTTGCATGGATGGTACGTTGAAGTCGACCGTAGTCGCGTTTACTATAGTCACCGAGTCGGGTTGACTGAAGTTCACCGGCGGTTTGTACTTGAGAAACGTCAAGCCCGGCCTCTTGTCCATCTCTCGGCACTCTTCAACCTTGATAATCTCGGTGCCTTTTGGACCCCACCAGCCTGGTATCTGTGACGGTGTATCGTCTCGTAGACCGCACACGCCGTAATTGTCGTCCTTATGATGGCAGCGAGCGTTTTGAACGCACCACGTACAGGTTCCTAAGTTCAGCTTGTTTGACACAGATTTCTTGCCGCGAAAGTTCGTACCCCAGCCGCCACCAGGCTGACCGTGTATCAAACAAGAGTGACAGTCGCCCAAAGCGGGACAGACACCCGGACAGCGCGTTGTCTGCAGATTCGTCGTGCAGTTGCTGCCTATCGTTCGACCGTAGCATATCTGAAACATGTCGAGATGTTTCAAGATTGGGAGTATAATGCTCGGAACAAAAAGTACAAATACGTAACATATTTAATACGTTCGCGCTTTACCAACGTTATACATATGTAATGAACCGATTTCGCATAAGAGATCAACGTCACACATATGTGTGACAGTGATACTTGTTTCTATGTCCACGCAGACAAATTAAATCTGTTTTATACTATCATATAAAAAATATATAGGGATGATTTCTTAAATGAACCGTAGTAGTGGACGTAGTAAAGAGAAATTAAGAAAATAGCTTACTTCGTCGGCGGAACACCAACCGCATTCGGGATTCGCCGCACATTCCATGAGACTTTTGTGCCTCGAACAAATTTGTTCCGGTTCAATATAATCGTCGTCACCTGGTGCGAGCATGGGCGGCAGAGTATATGCAAGGAGATCTGCGTTTACATTGCCGTGATATCCGCCGACAAGCAACAAGGTATTTCCGTTACGCACGTCCGCTGCGTGTGCAAATACTCCTTGCTGCTTGGGGTAACGTGAGTCTAGAAGTAGAAAAGTAAAGAATGTCGTAACGAATGTCGTAAAGAAAAAGAGCAAATAGAAAAGTAAAGCAATGTAAGTTACATTATATCAAAGTTGACGAGTTGAGTTCTTTTTTCTCTTCTATATATTAATTCGATTTGTGCCTTACCTTTATCACTCAAGCCCAGCACATCATGACTCACCCAAGCGTGACAACCAAGATGATAAAGATACATCTGATTATCGTAACAAATCTCTTCTTTGTTATGTCTATGAGAATATCCGCCGAATACCACCAGGTAATTTCCTACCGAAGAAACAAACGTTATGTAACTATATGGAAGAATCTGAATAAACGCGGTAACAACGCGAATTCATCCGGTATTTATTCAGATAATTACCTATGATGTTACACGTATGAAATGCACGTTCTCTCGGCACATATGTGTCTCGCAGGTGCGCTCTTGGGTAATGAATCTCAGACCAGACCTTTCTGTCAAGCTGAAAAACAAACATCCGGTCCGACAGTTTGCTGAAGCGAGCAACGCTGGCGACCACTCCTCCGTAGACGAGCAGGGAATTAGTGGCGCGATGATAAACGGTCGAGTGAGCAACTACGCGCACGTCCAGTTCCTTACCGCCTCGCGGTCGTACCTCTGTCCACCTTTCGGTAGTTGCCGTGGGATCCGCTATAATTGCGCATTGTGTTAACATTCAGTATAATACTCAGTACAAAGTGCATGTTCTTTGTGTGCAATAATCACTTCTTGTAACTTGACTTCGCCTCATGGAACTTTGAAGCTCGTAGAGCGTTAATTGCAAAACGTCGCACTGTTGTCGAGTGTAACGTCCGTTTCTATCAACGTCAATTAAATCTTGGTTTATTTTACGTTGATAGAAATAGACACAAATGAAACAAGTTTGTTTCAAGGAACAAAATCAGTGCTAAAGGAAATGTAGGAAATTTTGTCGACGCTTGAAACTCTTACGGATCAAAACAATCAAAATATTAGATAACGGGAGATAAATATAAACTTACATAAATGCAATTTGATTTTATAGAGGCTTGATGAGAATTCACCGTCAACGGTGCTGCCTCCGAATAGATAGATGTAATTATCCGCTAACGTCAGAGTATGCCTCGTGAGTCTGGGCGGATAGAAGGGAGAATTTTTAGCGCGCAGAGTCCATACGCGCTTGTTCACGTTGTAATGCCACAATTCGTTCGACAAAGAACCGTCCTGCACTTTTCCTCCATAGATCACGAAGCCTTCTAAAGATGCAATTGTAAATGAAGATTCTATCGATTTAAACGGCCAAAAGCACAAGAAAAAAATTTTCCGAAATAAGTTTGAACTTATCCACATCGTGTTACTTTAACAAAAATTAATATACATGAAACGTGTGGACATGTACGTGTGATGTTAGCGACAAATTTTTTTACGATATCAGAAATTCCTTATTGTGCTTTTATCAGCGTAGATTTGCAAGAGCTACGTGTATTAACGCACCTCGGTATTTACACGCAGCGTGACCATATCGGGGACTTGGTTTGGGCAATTCGTCGATGGTGGGTTCTGTAGCTTCCTCCTGCATTGACTCGCTCGTGGTTAATTTCGGATCCATAAACTTTTGCATGAAGATATTCTCTTCCTCGGGTCCTGCCACGAGCTGCTCCTCCCATTTCACGTCGTCATTCTGAACGTCTGTAGAGTGACGTTCCCTGTATAGGTCTCCTAAGTTTCTACGATATCTTCAACAAAAACAAATAATAATGTCTAATAAGATAATCTAAATATATTTCTTCCGAATAGCGCGCTTTGAATATGTGAAGACTTGGTGAAGATACAGGAAGCTTTATGAATCTATCATTTACTAATTACCTTCTTGCCGACAAATATCGCGGGCTTATAATTCGTTCATGTTGCCTCCTAGAATCATCATTCTTATCAATCCTAATGGTGCTTCTGCTCCTCTCGTTTTCCTTATCTTTGGATCTGAAGTCTCTGTGACCGCCGTCCACGTTCGTTCGATCGAACCGACCGAACGTGTTGTTATCTTTGATACTATAAAGCAGCTTCCAGATCAAGGATGACGTTGGTATACCATATATTTCTTTAGCACCGGATCCCATACGTTCTAATTCGGTAGCGATCAACATGGGATCCAGATATTCGATAGACGCGGCGCCTTCTGAAAATATGGAGCGTATATTTATATATACACGATTGCAATAAATGTCTTGGTATATATATTCTTTGAAATATGACAAAGTATACAGACGAGAAAATAGATTGTTTTAAAATTTTCATATAAAGTTTGTACACTGATTTATGATGCTTACCTAACACATTTCCATATTCATCTTCCCATAGACTTGTGTTGAACTTGTATACTTCCAAGTCGCTGAGTATACAATTGAGATCGTAGCCTCCAAAAACGTAAAGTGAATCTGTCTCGTAAACATAGACTGCGGTGTGAGCCGCCCGTGCTTTTAATCCACTTTCTGAATGTGAAAGCCAGTGCCACCTAGAGATTAGATTAATTAGTTTATAATTAATTTTTATGTCACAGTCCATTGTTATATATTGCAGCATATGATATTTAAAAAAGTATCTTCATCTTTAGATGATTTTATATATATTGTTAATATAATAAATACAACTACAATTTCAACGTATACAATTTCAAAATAACGTACCGATTCCCTTCCGGATGACTTTTATGCAACGAGCAAGATTGTCCGGAGTATCCATCGTTGCATTCGCACCTTTTTACCCCACAAGTACCGACGTGGCTGCAATTGTTTGGACAGAGAGCTCGGGAACAATCTTTACCTCCCCAATCGTTTTCGCAAAAGCACGTATTGTTGATGCATTTTCCGTGGTGAGTGCAATTATTTGGGCAGTCTGTGACTGAAAACTCCGCATGAAAGCCATCTAGTACGTAATTCGTGTCGCTATATAACAATATTAACATCTGCAAAAAAATTTACAATTTAAATAGATTTTTTTTATCATCATTGTCTTCAATATTGCATTATCACGCTTGGAACTCGTCCATGCAATCTTGTGCTAGAAGAAATCATAACAACAATTCACGTTCATCGTACGCAATATGCCGATGCCATTAATGCAGATAATGAGCCGCTATAAAAACTTGAATCTGCAATGCGTTATCTATATATTGTTGATCGTGCCGGTATGTACTTACATAACCAGACGATGATGTCACTTGCTGCGGCTCCGTTTTCCCACTGAAGCTGCCCAGAAGCGGAGAACGAAAAGAATCTCCATCGTAAACGAACACATAATCATAACTGCACTCTGTGCCCATCGTGCGAAAAATTAACGTGATAAATTGACCGCTGTAGTTAGCTGCAGAAAAAGAGAAAAAAAGATAAAGAAATGTCAAATATATAAATTCCAAACACATTTTAACTCTATCATTGCTTGTGTGATAAAAGTTCATCTTCTGAAGTCAATAATTACTTTTTTTCGTACCTTTAATGAGCCATTCGCAGTGAGAATCTTGAGTGTAATTTGAGCCTAGGGGCCCATCGCTGATGACGCCCCATGTGTCCATAAAGACCTTTCTCGTTTTATCACACGGCACTTGTTTTGGAGATGCCTGAGGAGCTAAACTGAAGCCCCGCATCAGGCAACCCCATATGACGACCCATGTTGTGGTGGATATCACCCACCCCATCACAGCGTATTCACCTCACTGTCGTTTAACAGCATACACATCATCATCCATATACATTAGATTATTTCTTGAGCAGTTAGGTAATGTAGCGCATGCAAAAGAAGTCATAGCTGAAAAATAAGATGTATATTTTTTATTTTATATTTGAACTTTTAGTGTAAGGAAACCAAACATTTCTATATGTATAGTATATATTTAGATATTTTATATATATATATATATATATATATATATATATATAAGTAATGTGTATAAAAAATATTATATATGTAATATATAAAAATCAAATTTGCATAGTATTATATAAAATAAATGATAAACAACATATAATTCAATTAATAAGTAAGCAAAAATGTAGAAATGTACAAAAATCAAGTACTATCTCCTACAATACGTTTAATACTACAATAAGAGTTTTTAGCACATATTTTTATAGCAAGTATAAATGATAACACAAGAATAACAAAATGGTTATCAGACTATATTATACCAATATTGGGTTTATGACGGTAAAAATTTTTATCATCTGTTTATTCAGGTATCACACATGTTTAAAGATCCTCTGGTATATCATATAAAAATAATAATTTTCTCGCAAACAAACATACACCCATACAACACATGTGTACATGTATCTGAGACCATAAGATAAGCTCAAACATACTTTAGACATTATCCTCTAATTTCACTGGATATCTTCAGCAAGCTTGAAGTAAACTGTAGCGAGACATTATAGCAGACAGACACACAATAAATAGGCATTAATGGACACAGCAAAATCTGCAAAATAAAAACGCAATCAAAGTATTATCTCTGGCTTTGATAATTGATAATACCGATAATTGTTTATCTACATTTGCAAATTTGTCAATTATATTGTTATCATGATTTATCATTATTATCACACCTTACTGGCACACGGTGGGGCTAAGTCAGAGTGCAGGAGCTATCATTAATCAATGGAGGAACACTCGACGATTGAGTTTTCAATAAACAATCACGAAAGCGCACGGCGAAACATTTACGAGCAACGTGTGCTCCGCGTAACGCATATTGAAGGACAATCTCAGAAGCGAGCGAGTGAGCGAGCGTCGTGCGAGAACGCAACGCTCTCTCGGCTCCTGATCAATTTGCAAATAAGCACAAATAAGCAAATGACACACGCACACTCGCGCACGCACACTTATGTATGTGTCCATGAACTTTCCGTACCTATCACGAGGCGACGACGGCGAGGAAGAAGAGAACGATGAGTGCAGCATAACAAACTGCGGATTATCACCTGTCAATAGTGTTCCTCGGCGTTGACAGGACTCTTTAGCAGGTCCTGAGGACGGTCACACTTTCGTCGACGAAAGGACGGAGTCGCGCGGCATCCTGCGGCAGTGGAAATGGTGACAGAAAAAGGAAAGAGAGAGGGAGACGAAGTCGTGAGCGTGTCAAAACATCACGGAAAGGAAAGTCGCGCGAGTTGGCCGAGCTGTCGCGTTGATCGCGAGACCTTGCGCGAGGATTGTCGAACCGAGTCGACGATAACCTCTTCGAAATGGGAACAGCACACGCGCAAGATACCAGTCTCGGGCACGAAGGAATGTCACGCGAGCTTAACGCAAACGAAAACACTGGCCACGACTGTGCCTCGCCTCGTTGACACCTCGATTACCTCGCTATATCACTCTCAATGATCATGGCTAGGGTGGGGGGACACTCGCAGTGACACCGACGAGGAACACTAAAGACCGTTGGTTTTACGGGATTTTGCGCGCTAGAAAATTTCGTTATTTAATGACCTCCTGTCGGTAAATTTGTCGATAAAAACGCATAAATCAGTGTAGATAACTACAGGATGCACAGTATGAGTACGCCTTATTATAAATCTGTAGACATAACGATAAAAGGTAATTGTAGTATCAAGGTGATTGTGAATTACAAAATTAATACACTTCGTTACACACCGAGTGTCCAGGAATTTATATCAGATTGCCAAAAATGATTGATAATGTCGCTAGTCTTCAATTACCTCCGAGCTCTTCGAGCATACTTCACCCTAGTTCGAGAATTTATTCAAGATTGATTATCTTTAATAATCAGAGAGCCCCATATATAGTAATTGATAAATTCGATCACGGGGAGGAAATCTCTGATTGGTCCCGGCCAAAGTTCCTTAGATAAAAAAAAAGTTCCTTAGGTAAAAAAAAAATTAGGTTAAAATTAAAATTGGTTCTTGCGCCAACGGATCAGAAGAGATTTTTTAATATGTTCACATATCAAATTCAAGTGCACATCTTTTCTGACAGACTAAGGTTAATAATATATTACTTATAATGATCAGATTCTTACAGTTACGTGAACAAGCTTCCATATGAATGCTTCCGTGTGAATAAATCGATGCCGCCTGCGTCGTAATTTCCCGCCTGAAATTGAGCATTTGTCGATTCTGCAATATTGAAGCTGACATTACAATACCTCGACCATGCGGCGTTTCGATAGCTTGCTGATCGATATTTTTGAAAATATCCCGCGTTGTAAATATAAAAATTTCATGTGAGAATATTTTTGGAATATATCAGATAGTTATTAATATTGCCAAATATTAAAACATAAATTCGATTTTTTTAACTTTACAACACTAACATTGTACATTAATGACAAAAAAATATTAAAATTAGTTTAAACTCGTAATATTTTACCTTCCAATTGTGCTTCGTATAATCACCCAGATAACATGCATGTCTAAAAGATGTCGAAAAGATATCTAAAAGACGTCTTATGCAACATTTTGTTGCAATTGTTGCTTTAAAAACAATTCCGTCTTGTATTTAGACAACTTCAATAAAAGTAAGGTAAAAATATTACCGTCCAGACACGTACCCAATCCTAGATATTCTTTTTATTTTTAAAAATATTTTTTATGAATATTTAAATTTTTAACATATATATATATATATATATATATATATATATATATATATATTCAGAAAGTTTAAATATTTATATTTCAAGACCAAAACAATGAGAATATTCAGGATTAGATATGTCTGGGAATTGGTACTTTTAATAATTAAATGAAAAGAATACATGAAATTAAAATTATACACGTGTTCGAAGGTGTTCGGACGCGAAAAAGATGAAAAGGAAGATTGAAATTACTTATAGTTATTGGTTTGCAGCATACATAATAACGGGCGTATTTCGACAATACAAATATTTTATTATCTCGGCAAGAATAAATTATTTCCTTCTCGATCGTTGTATTGTATAACTTAAAGACAGGGGAAATGGGGAAATAGACAAACACCTTATTAAAAATCTTAAATACACGTTCCAGAAGTTCATCGTTTAAAACGGTTTGGAAGCCGAAACGCTTTTCGTTTTTAGTCGCAATATCCTGATTTTGCAAAACTTTTAGTTTGCTAATTGGTGCACGGAGTTGCTCAGATCTTAAATAAGGTAGTGTCAATGTAATCGGTGTAAAAGGATTAATCTGTTCTCCTTTTCTTAACGAATGATTAAAGTAAAGCGTAGTTGATCTGAAATGTATGTGTCGGCTTTACAAGATATAAATTGACCTCTTTTTACCTATCCTCTCCTGTTCCTTATTAGGTAAAACTTGTATCTATCGTAATATATTCAACAGAAAGCGAAAATCAACTCTAGAGCGAATAATTTCTCACAAAAATACATCGAATCGTGACACAACCCGGCGTCTATATATATTACTTTGTTATATAATCTTCTAAAGCCGATATATACTAATTCTCCCGTCACATCAACTACAAATTGTCATTATGTAAAACTGCAAATTCATCATTGTCTCAAAATACACCACAAATTTATGATAATATTTAAGCTCTAAGCCTCTCCTAAGTTTACCCCTTTACACTTCAAATATCTAAATGTGTTAATATCATGCTATTGTTAATATACTGCCTCATTCTCGTGATTGCAAAGGAGAGAGAAAGAGTAAAAGAAACAAGAAATTAGAACGGAAAGAAGGAGAAAATAAGTGACACCATGCATAGTGCAATAGCGTAATGTCACAGTAACGTACAGAATGTGTATTTGTTATTATCTGTCAACAAATGTACATTTCCAGAGTCTTGATGATTGATACAATCGCTCTATAGCCGTGTAATTTTTGTTCTTTTACTATCCAAAAAAAAATGCGGTACACATTATTTTTCCAGTGAAAATTTTCAAAGATACTCGCGTGCCGCATGTACGTTAAGTGTCGATATGTGTGCGTGTGTGTATATGTGTGTCTGTGTTTTCTTTAACCCTTCAGCCGGTAGATTAACCCTTTGCGCTGCGAAGCGTTAACTTCAACTACTATCACTATATACTATAATAATATTGTATAACAGTATTATTATATCATAGCATGTAATATTTATCGTTAAATTATCATAACAATACCGCGTCACACTATGACAATATTAATATATTATAATCTTATCGTTAGTATGTAATAATTTTAAGGAAAAAATTATATTCTCATCTCTCTTTCTCTCTCTCATTCTCTCTCGTAATCCAAGGATATTCGGTAAAACTTGTTTGCATTCGTTTCATCGAATTATCTGGGCCCCTTAAATGATTTGATTTCTTATCATTGTCAATCATTGCTAGCGATAATCTATTTCCAATTGCAATAATCCAATTCCAATCTGAACTCCACGTCTAACTCAGCAGTGATCTCGCTAGCCCCTTATTGTTTCATCGAACAGCTGATCTGTATGAATCTTAGATAATAAATCTTCAATAGCTTCGCGCGCAAATATTCCACGACGATTTGACCGTTGGACTTTAACGTTTGATACCGTGAGACAAAAGTGCATTCCGCGCACAAAATGTTGGTTCTTCACTTATTCGCGAATTCATTCAGTTTTGCCTGTCTTTTTTTTCCTTAATGCGACAAAACACGAGTTATATCGTCATATCAAAAGTCAAGCGGACGGTGCGACGAGCTCTCGGTTCGTTCGCGTCACCAGAGTTACGAATGTACAAAGCTATCGGTTGAAGAGTTCGACATTATATTTTTGCAGTTAGGAAATCATTTTTCTTAGAAGGCGAACGACGCTTTTCGATGCTCGATCTTGTGAAATCGCGAGGTCGGCTGTGCATTGCGGAATTTCGCTCGCTGGAGAGCCGAAATTTCTACGACGAGTCTCGAGACGGACGAATGAACGAACAAGCAGTCTCGAGGAGACGTCGAACGTCCATTGAATTATTGAAATCCTACACAGCGGAGAGACTGCAAATCACTTGCAGCGATATCATAAGATTACTTAGAATGAGCAAAACTGCGCACTGACGTGTCAATGTCGGTGCATGTGGGCGTGACAAAACAAAATTAAAAAAAAAGGTACATGATCATCTGTTTCTTTTCCAATTTTTTTTATTTTTTTTGACCGTACCCTTGCTCGTCCAATAGCGCGCGTTAAGTGTGCAATGTCACATGAATGGATGACATAAATAAGTGGATATGAAATCTTTTTCCTATGCGACTATACGAAAAATAGTTTACCTTACGATCTTATTAAAACTTGAGGTACAGCTGTCAAAAGGCAATTCGAGGTACGGCGCAAACATTCGATCTCGCCTTCGTGCGATTTTTCATTCGACAGCTCATGTAAAAGTGTATCAACTAATGGCATCGTTTGCTCTTCGAATACAAGCGATCTGCAATTCTTCATAATTACCTTCTTTTGCTTATTTTTGTTCTTCATGTAAATCTTTTTTTTTCTTTTTCTTTTTTCGTTCATATAATATTCGAATCGACAGTGGAAGAAGTACGGGAGGAGCGAATGTTTCTTCCTGATCTAAATAAAGATATACCTGAAGACACTTTTGTACTAAAAACACAACTCCCACGTCAGTCTCTGTCGTGAGCGGATTCGCGGGAGTTAAAATCGTCCTTTATCTAGCCTGCGTCGGATTCATTAGTACTGAGAAGGTCCTTGTTTTTAAAAAGTACTACATAGTATATAAGGTGAGTAGAAACAGCCGTATGCCGGTAACTTGTTAATCGAATTCTTTACCTTCGATTTTTGCTATAAAGAACATGCGATCTGGCTGTCTGATTGACTAACTATTAAACGTCGATGGAACTGTATTCTCAGAGAAGATAGACTTCTATTTCTTTTTTTTCTTTTAAATATAATTTGGATCTTTGAACCGCTAAATCGACGAATTATTACATATTCAAATCATCATATATGATCCTAATAGTAAATGCCTGAATTAAAATCTCTGGACATTTAAAAGTTTCAATTTCTCTATCCATTTGCAAAATCTAAATCCTTCAAAGCTAAATCTTTCAAATCTATCAGATTTTTTAATCTTTCAGTTTTCCACCATTTAGATTAAAAATGTGGGCAAGTAAAGCTTAAAATCTACGAAGTAATCATCTTGTTTAGTCGATTAGCACATTCAGAATCTCCAAACCATTTTTGTTGAAAAGACAGAATTGATTCAATGTTTCTTCAAGAATATCCCGGCTACACGTGCTCTTTCCAATACACGTTACACAATGCGCGCAGAAAAATTGAACGATCGGGGAATGGTGTGCATGTCAAGAGTGAAATTCAGACGATTTTTCTTCGCGCATCGCATCGTCACATATTATATCGATATTTCAAAACATCAACGATCAACGTCATACTGTGACTCGCAAGGAGAGTACACATTGAAATCCATACATTGATATCTTTGTTTAGTCTAATACTTATCATCAGATGTAGTCTCGGAATGCTTGTCTAGATACGGGACACAAGGATTTCAGAGAGTTCTTTTGTCAAGCCCTAAAATCGCAGAACAATGTTGATCGTTCCTGAAATATTTACACAGTCTGTGCAACGCGTCTGTAGCGCGTTCTACTGATTTCAGAAATACAGACGCATCCTCTATAATACTTCGGCCTATTAGCTAGAAATATAACGCGAATGATAAACTACAAAAAGATCTCCTCGTCATCGCATTGCTTCGAGTCCCTCTTAGTGATACACCTTCATCAAAACCACGAAAAGGAAAAGCATCAAAGGCAATCTTTAGCAGCTTCATCCTCTCCATAAATCTCAGGCAATGCTGTTGATTGACCACACACTAGGCCAGGGATGCTCTTCGTCTTCACGGAATGACCGAACGTGTTTGCACATACGCTGAAATCCTTAGTCATCTCGCTGATCTCCATGCTCTCTTGTCTCTCGCAATTGGCCGACAATTTTAAAGCTGGCATGGAATATATACTGTCACCTCCAATATTATTCTTTCCAAGCGACGTGGTTGTTGACGGTCGATCCAGATAAAATTCCTGAAATATTACTAATATGAATATATATTAATATTATTAATATGAATTTACTTTTCTGCTTTTTATTTTTGAAGTTGCGTATTTCATAGTACAATCTGTTAACAAAAGAACCTTTTAAGTACTGTGAGTTTTTTGAGTTAATTCCGCGTAAATATGTTCTCACATATATAATATTTTGAACTGTTATGTCTATTAAAGATGGTTGACGTTGAAAGAAATTAATTGTCAGTTAACAGAAATAAAAATATTCTTATATATTGTTTACGTTGTAATACTTGAAAATAAAAGATTATTTTAAAATAATACTTGAAAATAAAAGATTATTTGGCCCACCATCGAGCCGACTTATCGGTAAGAATGGCGTTGGTACGCAGTGGAGAATTTTGAACTGATACGAAAATAATAATAAATAGGGGGGGGGGAGGGTTTAGTGATCTCTGGATCAGTTATTTGTTTAATGATTTCTTAATTCGTTACTAGAAAATCTATCGATACAAAGAATCAAGAAGATAATATATTAGAAACAAAAAATCTAACCTTAATTTATCGTCCATTTATAAAGTGTATCGTAGAATAATTTACCTTGTCTGTGTTGAGTGGAGCAGACATCGGTGGTTGTGTTGTTTGATTGCACTGTGCTAAGGCTATCAACTCTTTCTGGTTTTCCCTGGCATCCACGAGGAATATACTCTCCTTCACTTCTTTCACATTGTACTCGTCGATTCTAAAAATAATATTAAAAAATCATATCGACTTTTTTATGTAAAATTGTGTATCATATACACATAACGCGTATATAATGTATAACAAATATATATACATATCTCCTGAAAACAACTTTGTTTCAATCTCCGATCTTATTAAACTATCAACTTTTCTAATCATTTACTATTCGAATCATTTATTCTTGAATCTGTTAAATCACTTACTTATCATATATAACCGCGTGCAAACCGAGCTTCTTCAGATACTGAATAGTAGCCTTGTCGTTGTTGTCGTCGCCCCAGCAGAAGATAATTAGCCCCACGTCCTTGGCTAATTTAACTTGAGACGGATCTCGAAGAAGATCTTCGGTATGAACGTTAATTCCCAGGATGTCCGCGGTCAACGCGTGTCTTTTTGCCATCGGCACCGTTTGACAGCGTGGGTCGTGATAAGTGGGATACTTCAACGTGACGCCTTGCGTTAGGAACACTACCGGATACTTGTTCTGCTTAAGACGGATCATCGCGCAGATGTCTGGATTGAACGAGGAAAACACGATTTTCCGATCACCGCCATATTCTAATACCACTTTCAAGATGATATCTAGGTACAAGTTGAGATCGAATGGATGATTGAGCTCGAAAGTGCCATCCTGGTGACAAAGAAATCAATTTATCTCTCGTTGCACCGCTGTTAACTACCAAGAAAGAAACTATATATTAACAATATTCTCACCTTCAACTGCATATTCCATTTAATTTCGATATTACATCCGACATGTTGTTCCAGTTCTTGGAGCACAGTTTGCAGCGTGGGAAAAGGTTGATGATCCTCCAGATCCTCATCGAAAAATCTCGGATTTTTCTCTCGACCTTCAGCCACGTGATAAACCTGAAGGAAAATCCTCATCAATGAGATGCATGTACACGCATGGCGACCGATAAAATCGTAAGAGTCGATAAAGTGTAAATTATATCGTCGCCGACGCAATAAATGTTCAAAGTAAAATAAGACAAACGTATTTATTTAATGCGAATATATATCTTTGGAATTTTGTGCCGTTCGTGACGTATTACTCGCATGCTATGGTTGACGAGACTAAGGCGTGTTGGAAATATTTTGGGACTGAGCTGCGATAGAGATAGTTATGAGAGCAAAAGTATTGACATCATGTCTTGACTAATGCTTTTTTAATGTAGCTTAAGAAAATTTTGAACTTAACGACTATTCGAAGTGACTACTCAGTCCTGAAATTCTTTCCCCGCATAGAATCCAATTCATGTGAGAATATTTAATATGAAGTTGGTAGGGGGAGTGAAACTGGTGAATCAAACTAACGTTTAATTAAGAATACAAAATTGTCTGAGATGTTAAAAGCGATTTTATGAATGTTACTTTTCGGCGGTATCTTGCCCTTTGCGTAATAACTTGCGTAATATAGGACAAATTTTATGACTCGCTACAAGCTCCCAGACTGAGTGCCCATCGAATATTTCTTACTTTCGCGAAATCGACTTGCGATGATAATTAAGCGCATGAAATTAAGCGCGGTCACATTAATTTGGCGTTATCTTGTCAATATTGTTTACTTTCCAGAGATAGAATTATAACAACACTATCTCTTAATTTAAAGAGATTCGGCATTGAAGACTGCATAAATCTCGCAGACATCGAGGACCGCTTCTGGTTATAAATCTATCGACGAGCTTCTATCACCGAAAGCCACTCACAAAGAGAAAAACAGAAGGACTTACGGATGAACATTCAGCTTTGGCTTCTAAGAAAAGCGAAATATTGTGCTATAATCGCACAGTGAGAAAGAAGATCGCTTTTTTTGCAACAGCAATAGTAATCGATGGACTTGATCACTTGGTAGCTTTCAAAGATGCATGCAAGTCGAATGAGTATACTGGTTATACATTTTTTGCGAGTTAGCCGGCGCAAGCGGTATAAAAGCTCACCAGTCTGTTAACCCCCTGCTCAGCTTTATCAACGAAATAGAGCACCTTACCCAACGAGTCTCCCGGATAACAATAATCCTGAATATTATAAAACACTGAATATAAAATACAGAAAGATATTACGAGCATATCATTTTTCTTGTTTAATGTTTGCGTGTGAGTTTAGATGGACGTTTACGTACGGACACACTCCTGCGAGGTAATCGATACTTCTCCCTTATTAAGAAAAAACATACATAAAAAGCGAAACATCGATATACGCAGTATTCTCGTACAGATATATACCGCTGCGTCATGTTAAGTGAGACAATCTGTTATAGTGGATGCACATGTTAATTAAGCCAATGGAAAATCGATAAGCAATCGAGCGATTTCCTACTCAAGAATTCAGATATAATGTAATATGTATATTTTCTGCTGATATATGCATATCTCAAAAGCCGATCTTATAATTTATATAAAAAGTAATTTCAGACATACAATTCTTCCGCGGGCTTAATCAGTTTCATATATCCCGAGTACGACATTAGTTTCTAAACTTAATTTAACGCACAACCATTTTCTACATCATATTCATTTCTTATTATATACTTGTATCTCATCTAAAATATAACAGAACATAATAAAACATATATAAACTATATTTTCATTTAATGTGTGAATTGTATATACAGGGTGTTCGGAAAGTACCGAGACGCCCGAATATCAGGAAAAATATAAGTTTTACAAAAAAATATTTCAGACAAAAGTTGTGGCGTTTAAAAAGATGTATTTACTGATCACATCAGTTTGACCTTGGGTTGCGTAGTGAAGGTCAGGTCAAGGTCACATTAATTTTTTTAAATGGAACACCCCATTTTTCATTGCATATTCTTATAGCACATCTCGAGAGCTTTCCAAAACGCTATAATAAAATATTT